TTTTATAAGAGGTGTCAGTGACTGAATTAACCATAGGGCAGGACAATACCATGTAAACATTGTGACTACTTTAGAGTGGCATTGGAAATAGGTAGCAAGCCCTACTTCTTGACTTCAGTTGGCAAATTGTGGCAGGAAAATACTAAATTTTTAGTCAGTAGACAAAATAGAATTGAGTAGATCCAAACTGAGTCAACTTGAACGCGGTGAACTTTTATTTTTCTCACCTTCAGTTACCTGGTTAAGTAAAGCTGCTAGCACAAAGAAATTACCTCTAGAGGTGCAAATATGAATACTGTTCTTTATTTATTTTAACTTATTAACTGTGAAATGCAACTGTACCTGGAAAATGCTTGCCCTGTGTTTGCTAACTGACTTTTTTGACTATAGTTTAAAATGGTAATAGTAGGGAGGTGTGTTAATGATCTGTTAAGATCCTAACCTGAAGAAATGTAGAATGTTCACAACAAAATATTTTTGAATTAGTAATGGAGATTTAGTAAGTTAACCTTGTAAGTATACCTGCCTGTAGTTGAATTTTCACTAATGTAACGTTTGATATTAGTGATTCATAAGCCATCAAGTTGTGCTATAAAAGAATATCATTGCACTTTACAATATCCTTTTGCAATAGTTCTCTTTCTCGTTGTAACTGGAGTTAATTCTCCATTTTATCGTAGCTTCAATTGATTAGAAAAACAATATGACGACCCCTACTATATTAGTGAGAGTGATTCTGCAAAAATGACTGAGCTTCTGGTCGCCTGCCATTTTAACGCACCACCATGTTCCCTGGCCAACATCTCTGTCTTGGGTCTGCTACAGTGCTCCAAAAAAGCTCTGAGCAAGCTAGAAGAACAACACCTCATTTTCTGCTTGGAACCCTGCAACCCTCTGGACTCCATGTTGAGTTCAATAATTTCAGGGCCGAAGCACCTTTTCCCATCACCTTGCCCCAACCTCCACAATCGAAGTCCTGTCTCCACATGAGTTGTTACCACAAACAACTCATTGTCAGCCATTAATAGGCCCCATGAGCAACTATTCATTCTCCCACGCTGACCTTTGCCCACTCCTTTGTCTGCCTAACATTTTTCTGCCTTAGCCCCTCCCCTACCCCACCCCTTCTTTAGCATATATACCAATGTTTTCCTAGCTATCAATTCTGACGAAGAGTGACTGGACTCCAAAATGTTGATTTTTTTTTCCTCCACAGATGCTGCCAGACCTGCTGAGTTTTTCCATCAATTTCTGCTTTTGTTTCTGATTTTGTTTCAGAATCTGTTTATTCATAAATAGTAATTTTATCAAATGCAGAAACCAGGTCTGTGCTTTCTGTTAACCTGGATCTAAAGGACAAGTAAATTGGTGAATTTTGCATACTTTTATAAAATTTTTAACTTTTGTGATGACTCTGGGAATAGCGGGGCTTTATTTTCAGCATGTTACCCCTGTGAGGCGTAACATGGTTGAGAAGTTGATTTGGAAGGAAGGAGTGAGATTGGTGTTAAGACTAATCAGTGAGGCAGCATCTTGCATAAGACTGCATGTGACTGAAAATCAAGTGAAAAATTGGAACATTGCTAACTAAGGTTTCAATTTATGCTTGCAAAAGATTTTGTACAAAGACTACCTCTGTTTGTTAATTAGACACAAAAATGCTCTACTTATGGAATTACAAGCCACAATCTTTAAACCTAAACTTCCCATTTTAATCCACACTCCAGATATAGCCATGCTATTAATTTAATTTTCCAAAGTACACAGACAAGTTAAGTAATAACCAAAATGTTGAAAATACAGTTTTGTTGTGCAGGAGACAGCATTGATTTACCTAGTACCTTATGGCATAAAGAAGCCTAGCACATTACTGCAAAGGTCAAAGCTGAAGTATTATGGTCTGTCTTCAGCCAGAATCACTGAATGGATGATCCATCTCGGCCCCCCAAGATCCCCAGCATCACAGATGACAATCTTCAACCATTTTGATTCATTACATGTAATATTGAGAAACCGTTGAAGACACTGGATATTGCAATATCCAATGGGCCCTGACAAATTTCTGGCAATAGTGCTGCAGAACTGGCCACGTCTTTAGCCTAGTTACAATACGGTCATTTAGCTTGATGTGTGGAAAATTACTCAGGCATGTCCTGGGCACAAAATGCAGGAGAAATCCAACGTGGCTAATTACTACTCTGTTGGTCTACACTCCATCATCAGCAAAGAGATGGGGATCACGAGAAACAGTGGGAGAGCCACAGAGTTGATTGCGAGTGGTTTTCTGACATTACAGAAGAGGAAGTTCGGGAGGTCTTAGAGAATATGAAGGTGGATAAGTCTCCGGTACCTGATCTAATGTATTCCAGTGGCATTGTGGACAGTGAAGAAAGTTTTTTCTGAGATTACAGAGGGATCTTGATCAAATAGGTCAATAGGCTGAAAAATGGCAGATGGAGTTCAATCTGATTAAATGCGAAGAATTGCATTTTAGTACAACAGACAAGGGTAGGGCTTATACAATTAATAATAGGGCCTTGGGTAGTGTTGTAGAAGAGAGGGACCTAAGTGTGCAGGTACATAATTCTATGAAGTTCCTGTCACATATGGACAGGATGGTTAAAAAGGCATTTGGCATGCTTGCCCTCATTGTTCAGTCCTTTTGAGTATAGGAGTTGGGACATTATGTTGAAGTTGTACAGGATATTGATGAGGCTCTTCTGGAATACTGTGTCCATTTCTGATCACCCAGTTATAGGAAGGATATTATCATGCCTGTGAGGGTTCAGAAGAGATTTACCAGGATGTTGCCAGGTTTGAGTTATAAAGAAAGGCTGGTTAGGCTGGAACATTTTTCGCTGGAGCGTAGGAGGGTGAGAGGAAACCTGATAGAAGTTTATAAAATAATGTGTAGTATAATTAGAGTTAATGGTGGTTGTCTTTTTCCTAGGGTGGGGAATTTCAAGACAAGGGGACACATTTTTGAGGTGAGAGGGGAGAGATTGTGAAAAAAGATGTAAGGGCAAGTTTTTTTTTAAGAGTGTGGTTTGTGTGTGGAATGAACCTCCTGAGGAGGTGGTGGATGTGGTAACAATTACAACTTTTAAAAGACATTTTGATGGATACATGAATAGGAAAAGTTTGAAGGGATATGGCCAGGAGCAAACAGGTGGGACTAGTTTAGTTTGGGATTATGTTCAGCATGGACTAGTTGGACCAAAGGGTCTGTTTCCATGCTGTATGACTCTATATGACTGTGATTGGATAGCAAAGATGAAAGCATTTCTACCTAGCTAGATGATAGTGACAAGCCATTGTAGAGAGATGCTGTGATCAACATATTGAATGCTGCAGGGAAGGATGAGGAGGGAGAGTTCACCAATATCACAGTTACATAGATTATCATTTTGTGACTTTGAGCTGTTTCAATACTGAAGTGGAGTGGAAACCTATGTAGTGGGATTCAGTCATAGAGCTACATGAAAGAAAATGGATTTGGGGAGAAAACAAAACACATTAAAGAACTTGAGAGGATAGGGAATTTGAAGATAGACCTTGGTTTATAAGGACAGAAGGGTGAATTTATGTTTTTTTGAGGAGGCAATATTCAACAATTAAAGTAGAAATGTACAAAACCCGAAAAGAAAAATTTGCAATATCAGCTAATAGGACAATAAAGGATATTAAAACACAAGACTAATGTACTTGTGCTTCAAATACTTAATCTTCTGTGATCATATTAGATACTTTAACTTTTTTTTATTAAGAATGCTTCATAGCTGGCTCATTTAATTCTCTTTACTGAGATGGAAACCTTCCAGGGTCAGGGATATTTGTTCTCTATTGTATGCTTCTTGAATTTTTCTTTAAGTGTTTTGATTGGGTGGAAACTGTTACGCTATTGCCAAGTTATATAAAATGTATTATAAATTGGAACAAAAACAGAAAAATATTTTTGAAATAAACTAACTTAAATAATTTAGCTATTGTTCTTTGCAGAAAAAGCAGGGAGAAATAGTATCAGATTAAAAAAAACTACCTTGTCCAATTTGTATTTGGAAGGTAACATTGGCGGTTTTTATAATCTTGAGTCCATCTGCAAAGTGGAATGAAATGCACTTGTTGCTTCAATTCAGATGAATCCTTAATTGAAATCTTAATTAAAATGCTTAATCATCTTGTAAGGTCCATGATCTTTTACCTTCAGGTTACTTATGTCTTATGGCAAGACATTAGGCATTCCATCTACTCAGGAAACATGCAGGGATAGTTTGATTCTGCTTATTGTTTTTTGATTTCATGTTTTTTTTCCATTACTTTAACTTCGCATGCCTTACAACAGAACATTTGAAAGTTTCTTTCTGTTGTAATGTTAGAATTTCAAAACACTTACCTCCAAGTAGAATGCCATATCCACTAGTGTGTGATTATCAAAGCTTGCAGGCACTTAAAGTTCCAAAATTTTATTGCACTGATTTGGATATTGAAGTTGCAAATATTTCTATTCCCACTTAAAGTATTTAAATTTTAAAAGTTGGTTCATGTTTTTGAATGTGTCTATTAGTCAGTGTTCAGAGAGCAGGATAATTCTAAGTGGAGCCTGACAGTTAAATGAGGTGCTACTTGGCTGGAATTTGAACTTGGATTTACCTTGCAGCTACCATCTTTGTTTTTCTCAAGGTAAGAAACTTCGAGCCATGAGGATTCAATTTCATTTTGCCAATTGAAACTCACTTATTATGTCAGCATTGATGCATGTTGGTACATCAAAACATTCATTTTTGTGTTGTATAGTAAATAATGCAAAGTTATTTTCATATAGGGGCAAGTTGTTTTTTCTTCTGCCTTCAAGGAAGGAAGGAAGATTGTTCAGTCAGTAAGTTACTCCATCACATGAAAACTGGTAGCAAGTGAGAAATCTAATCTAAGTGTATATAAACTCCTCAATGTGCTTTGGCAATACATAAGCTATGCAACTAAATACTTTTCCCTTTTCTTAGGAAAGTGGAAGATGTGTCACCAAATTGGAAAACATGGGATTCAGAGTGGGACAAGGACTAATTGAAAGGTAGAAAGCAGTGGCAGCTTTTGAAATGATTGAACAGTAAATTAGTGAACTGTATCCTAATTGTTTTATTTGATGACAAATCATGCTTACATCTTTTTGTTGGGGGAGGGGCAGAAAGACTGGAGTTAAAAGCACCTGTTTTACATTTGTAGTGCATATTCAAATCTTTAATTCATTTGTTTAGCATTTGGATATCCATTTTGCTCGCCACAAAGCAAGAAGCTTTGCAGCCAAAGGGAATTGTCATTTCCGTGGAATTATGTATCTCATACATATTCAAGAAATATGAGGCCTTATTCATAATTGCTTTGCTGGAATATTGTTCAGGGAGTATGGGCTGCAGAGCGTTACAAAAAGAAACAAACCATATATCATAAATTGCTGCTGGACCTGTCAGAAGTATATCCAGCATTTCCTGTTTTTTACTTTTTTTAAAGCACCTGTGGTGTTTTCCTTTGTGATAGATTGCTTCATATTATTTCTATTTTTTTCCCTCTGTCTACTGTAGCCATTTCGTTGGCCAATTCAAAACCATCTCTATTCCAGCCTTTGTGAACTCATCAGGAACAACTGGTTCAGTGCTTTCCAGTTCCTCACTGTCAGCAATTTCTTCATGAGTAGTTTCTTCATCTTATCCCTTTGTTAGTATTTCTGATTCAATAACGTAATTGCTGCCAATAGTTGCATGTGTGTGGCTTAGTTTATTTTTTCAAATTTGTTATCCTGTGCTTTCATTTCTGAAATTCCTAGTGTATTGCATTGCTCTGTAACTGGTAGCCATTTTTTGTTGCACATCAGCCAACTTTTTAAACAAAAAAGTTTGCAAAACACTTCTCTGACGTGTTCCTGTGTTTTGAGCGCAGTCTTTGCAGTTTATTTCCTTTTTCTGTATTTGAATTTGAGACACAGATAAAAACTGGTTCACAGGTTGTAGACCGCTTCATACGTTTTATGCATAAGTTTTGAATGGTATCAATGGTTTGGCTGCAAATATTTGTCACTGATTTCAGGTCGCAGACTTCCACAAGCGCATAGAAGTATTGTCATTAAACCTACAATACTGAGATTGTATGAGTGTTTTGGTGTTGCTGCCAGTAAAGCGTAGGAGCTTTATAATTTTAAAACACAATTGAATACTCTACCAATCATCTACTCCTATCTATGATTGCTTTGAGTACAAAAATAGCTCATTCTTTGCTATATTTAGTACCAACACAGGCGTCATCAATATTGGTTGGAATTATATAGAGAAGGAGCTGATTTTAAATAAATTATTGCCATCAGTATAAGAAGTTTATATCAGCAAAGTGCAAGTCCTGTCAACTTTACCTGTTCCACTAGTGCCTGCCTTAAATTTTAAATTAAGTCACTGCTAAAATTAGCTAGCAGTTCATTTAAACTCAAATTTATAAATTGCATTCTTCATTCAGTGAAATTAGTGTTTGCAGGATGCTGTTTTTGCATTTTGTTTATGTTCTTATCTAAAACCTCTGTTTCAAAGCTGGGACATTAATCATGTTCAGTTAATGTCATTGGATGTTCATATTTCCTCTGATTTTATCACAGATTTACTAAAGATACTGCACGATTCAAGGATGAACTAGATGTCATGAAATTCATATGTAAAGACTTTTGGACCAGTGTATTTAAAAAACAGATTGACAATCTTCGGACTAATCATCAGGTAAGTAATTTGTATATTTAAACCTTGTTAGTTCAGTAGCTGCATTTCTAAAAATGAATTTTGCTGATACGGCTGGCAAAATAAGTAATGAGAAATGTCCACCCTGTAATAGGAAGGATATTATCAAGATGGCGAGGGGTTCAGAAAAGATTTACCAGAATGTTGCCGGGAATATAGGGTTTGAGGTATAAGGAGAGGCTGGATAGGTTGGAATTTTCATGAGGGGTATAAGTAAGCTGAATGGCAGGTGTCATTTCCCTAGCATGGGGGATTTCCAGACTAGAGGACATATTTTTAAGGGGAGAGGAGAAAGATTTCAAAATAAAAACATGAGGGGCACTTTTTTTTTTAACACAGAGGGTGGTTTGTATGTGGCATGAACTTCCAGATGAAGTGTGGATGCAGGTACAATTACACCATTTAAAAGATATTTGGATAAGTACATGAATAAGAAATGTTTGGAGGAAAATGGATCAAGTGCAGGCAGGTGGGCCTATTTTAGTTTGGGATTATGGTTGGCATGGACTGGTTGGACTGAAGGATCTGTTTCTGTGCTGTATGACTCTGACGATATTGTGCCTTTAAGAGATGAGTTCTGACCTGTTTCTCTTGCAGAGGGATGTTGTCACAGTGGTGCTGAAATGTCACCTTCAGATGGGCAGTTGGTAAACAGCTTTTGTGTTCTTCCTGGATGTTTGTTTTAAAATGTAAGACAAATGAATCATCAGTGGGTGGGATCAGGCTCACACAGACCCGGAGACTTTAGTTTTGCATTCAGTTGAGTAGGTTTTGCTGGCTGCTGGAGCTGAAAGCTTGAATTCTCTGCTGCTATAGTGAAGTCTTCGATGGAGAGGCTTCCTCTTTTAAAAATCAAAAGGGGCAGATTGTTTCTTTCTACTGGACTGGAGAGAGGCAGCACAAGAGAATAATAACTGTTGTAAGAATTGCCTTTGCCAAGGGTATGCTTACGGGATGTTGCCGATATTGGAACAGTTGATGATTAGTGGGTGAATATACATATCTTGTTAAATATTTCAATAGAGTAAAGTTATGCTAATTCTTTTTGTATTTTAACTGTTGTAAGAATAAGGTGTGTTTTGATTAAAGCCTAGTGGTGGACCAGTTGAATCATATTTGGAGCACTGTGCATTATACTTGCCTTTTAGACATATACAAGTTAGGGTCTAGGCTACCTCCTTCAATATACTTTGTTTGGAGGGGGGTGATTGTGGGGCAGTTCTGATCTGGACCGTAACAATTAGAACAAGTGTAAATGTAAGCTGGCTTGGCATATTTTGTTTTGCTAAGAAGATGTAGTTCCATTATCAGATCCTAACTTCCTCTCTCCTCTTCAGATCTCCGGGCACTCTTTGTAGTGCAGAATATGAGTAGGTAAGAAGAATCTACAATGATGTGAGGAAAGGACAGAACATCATGACTTAGTGGATAACTTTTTAAGAGAATAGACCTCCTTAGTTCTAGTTACAACATTGTTTTAGGTTTCTTTGTACATAAAGTTGACCTGAGAAACTCAACTGACAATTTAAGAAAGAAAATGGGACTGTCGGTTCCTCTTCTGTGAAACCATGAACAGGATCAGGAAGCCTCTGTCTGATGAATTGCAGGCAGAAACCTAACCTGTGTTTTACGATGATAGCATCCTCTACAATTGGATGACTGACCAATTCATTTTATTTTTGTCATTTGAAGGAGGAAATGCTGATTAGGACACAGAACTCCCAGCTTTTCTTTGAATTGTGCCAGTGGAATTTGTAGTATCTCCTTGAATCATAAAGATGGCGTTATGTTCAATGTCTCCACTAAAGAATGATGTATATGGCAATGCAGTATCCTCAGTCAATCTGTTTAGTTTAATGTTTGATGTTGAATCTTATCATAACATTTAGATTGCTATGCCAACTGATGTCATTGTCCTTTTAATTTGTTGATAGCTTTGCATTTAATTTTGCAGGGTATTTATGTGCTCCAAGATAATAAGTTCCGCCTCCTTACTCAGATGTCTGCAGGGAAACAATATTTGGAACATGCACCCAAGGTATAACTTCTAGTTATCCTGCATAAATAAATGGGTCCGCAGAGCCACATGTTGATGATCTGGAAAGAATAATGCTATGAAATATATCTAACAGAACAGCCAAAAAAAAACTGAGCTCATCAGTTGAAGATTTAACTGGCTTTTAAAAGTTGATTTTTTTCCTTTTGGGTACTTCAGTTGTTAAATTTCAACTGGTGGTGGAGGTTGGTCCATTTAAAAGACTTGCGAGTGAAGGGATTATTTAGGAGGTGATTTTTATGCAGAGTCGTTGGATTATGGAATGGCCATAAAATGTAGGAGAAGATGTCGACCATTCAGCTCATCCAGTTTGTTCTCCATTCAGTAAGATTCACTGCTGATCTGATGATCCTCAACTCCACTTTGCCTTTTCCAAATAATCCTTGGTTCTCTTACTGCTTAAAAATCTGTTTGTCTCAGCCTTGAATATATTTAATGATCGAGCCTCTACAGCTTTCTGCAATGTGGAATTCCATAGATTCTCTACTGAATGAGGGAAAAACGTTCCTTACCTCTATATTACATAGGCCACCTCTCCATTCTGAAAATGCTCTTTGGCCCTAGATTTTCTCAGAAGGGGAAATGACCATTTCGCTCTACCCTATCCAATTCCCTTAGAACCCTGTATGTTACATTAAGTTCTCCTTCTGTTCTTCTAAATTCCACTGAGTACAGGCTAACCTACTCAATTTCTCCTCATGAGGCAGTCTGTTCATACCTGGGATCAACCTAGTGAACCTTCTCTGGGGTGACACTAAGGCCACTATCTCTTCCCTTTGATAAGGGGACCAAAATTATTCGCCGTATTCCAAGTGTAATCTGATTAGTGGCATGTATAGTTTCAGTAACGTTTTTTATTTATACTCCATTCCATGTTAAAACAAAAAAATCAACGCCCCAATCCGTTTGTCTTCCCTATTATTTGTTGAACTTAAATGCTAGATTTTTGTGATTTATGAACAAGGACCTTTTCTACAGTCTTTCTCCACTTAAATATTCATCTGCTCTATTCTTTCTGCCAAAGTGCATAATTCTACAGTTTCTCACATTCTATTCAATTGCCAAATTTTTGCCCACTCAATTAACTTGGCTATGTCCCTTGGCAGACTTTGTGCCATCCTCACCATTTGATTTTACCACCTTTTTTTTATCATTTACAAATTTGGCAAAAGTACATTTACTTTCCTCATCAAAGTCATTTATACATTGTAAATAACTGTGGCTCCAGCACGGATCCCTGTGGCACTGTACTAATTACAAATTGCCATCCTGAAAATGTTCCCCTTAACCCAACTCTGTCTTCTATAAGTTAGCCAGTCTTGTATCCATGGTAATATGTGACCTTCATCTGATTAAGTAGCCTAACGTGTAGGGATATCTGATCAAGTGATGTCTGAAAAATCTAAATGTATCAAATTCACTGCTTCTCCTTTTATCTATGCTACTTGTTAGCCTCAAAGAATTCTAATAAATTTGTTAAAAATGACTTTTTTTTTGTATGATCATGGGATGAGGACATCGGTGGCTAGGCCAACATTTATTGCCCACCCCTAAGTGCCCAGAGGCCAGTTAAGAGTCAACAACATTACTATGGGTCTGGAGTCACATGTAGGCCAGACCAGGTAAGGATGACAGTTTTCTTCCCTACAGGACATTAGTGAACCAGATGGATTGTTCCAACAATCGGCAATAGATTCACGGTCATTGTTAGACTCTTAATTCCAGATATTTATTGAATTCAAGTTCCACCATCAGCTGTGGCAGGATTCAAACCCGCACCGCCAGAACATTACTTGGGTCTCAGCATTAACAGTCCAGTGATAATACCACTAGGCCATTGGCTCCATGCTAACTCTTTGATTGTATTATGTATTTCTAAACGTTTTGCTATTTCATACTTTATATTGGATTTGACCATTTTCCTGATAACGGATATTAAGCTAAACTGGCTGATTTTTGTCTTTTAATTTTTTCCTTTATTTGAAATTCTTTGAGACCTTTCCAGAATCTATGTTATTGGAAGATTACAACCAATGCGTTATCTCTGTAGCTTCTTTTATTATCTTAGGACACACCCCGTCAGGTCCAGTGGACTTATTGGTCTTTAGTCCCATGAAGGTTGCTTTGTCCTTTTTCTCTAATAATTATTTACTGTATTCTATTCCTCCCCCTTCTTTTGTCTTTCAATTGTTATTGGAGTGCTATTTGCGCCTTTTACTGTGAAGACTGATGTAAAGTATTCATTCAATCCCTCTGTCATTTCTTGTTTCCCCACTATTATTATTGTTGTTATTTTCTGAGGGATCTATGTTAACTTTAGCTTCACTCTTACATAGTTAAAGAATCTCTTGCTGTCTGTCTTGCTATTTCCTTGTAAATTTAACCTCACGGTCTCCATCTTTATGATTTTTTTTTTTGGTCATCTTTAGTTTTTAAATTTTCCCAATCGTCTGGCTTACCATTGATTGAATGTTTGTTGTTTCTTCAATTTGATGCTATCCTTAACTTCGCTGATTAACAGTGTTTGGCTTATCCCCTTCCTAGAATCCTTCTTTGTTATTGGGATATATCTTTGCTGTGAGCCATGAACTATTTTCTGCCATTGATCCTCAATGGCTTTGCTGCTAAACTCCTTTCCCAGTCCACTCTAGCTAGATCTGACCTCATTTCTTTTTGTAATTGCCCTTATTTAAGCTTAGCGCAGTTGTTTCAGACCCAAGATTCTCTACTAAATGGCGATATATCATGTTATGGTCACTGTTCCCTAGGAATCTTTTAGTCTGACAACGTTTATTAAACCTGCATCGTCACATATTACCAGATACAAAATGTCCTGGATCTTCATATTGTTCTAGGAGATATACCATATTTTGGGCTATAAATTCTTTCTTGTGGTTACCCCTGCCAATCTGTCTCTCCCTGTTTACATGAAGATTAAAGTCATCAATTGTTTAATGTACTAGCTTCTTTACGTTGTCAGATGGCAGAGACCATCCATCCATTTTGTTTAAAAAATGCAGTACTAGAAATAAAAGAACATAAGCTATAGAAATGGATTGAGGTAAATGGATCTAGTTTTGACTGCTTCTTATTTAAAAGAAAAAGCACATATGTGATGTGCGAATATACTCCTATGCTGTAAACCATTAAAATTCATTTGGCCACTTTGGTAATATTAGAACAACTAAATACCCCAAGTTCTCTTCGGCAGAGAAAATTTAGTCAGAACAGTTTGGTGGTATTAAGATTTTTCATAGCTTTATGCGTGAACAATATTGAAGTCATATAATAGTCTTGGTTGCAATTCCAGAATGGGAAGTGACAAAACAAACGGTGCGTTCATTTGGGAGTGGCAAAAGGCAGGCTTGGCTGACTTTTTAACGACAATATTTTATTAGCATATGATCTACCAAATAGTAAGACAGAAGTTCAACTGTTAGAATTGGGCAGCAGGGGAATAGTGTATGGCCGCTGGCAAAAAGTGGCAGGAGATACTCTGAAGCAAGAGTAGTCCAGAACTTTTCTATGGGGCGCTAAGGAGAATTCTTGCACAGAAACAAACTACTACTTTTCTGGGCCTCTTGAAACTCTTGATCTTCCCAGCAAGTTTTGCCTGGTGGTAAAACCACAAATGTTCCTTCATTTGGACCTTGCTGTTCACATGGCAGATCAGACCTTGGAGTGATGTCTTTGCAGCCCAATCTTGCATGCTCAGGAAGATCCTATCAGATCCAAGCATCTAACATTCCTTGAGTAAAGAAAGTGTTCCTGTTTGAAAATTGCTTGGTTATAATTTAAAACTTTCTTTCTGCTTGCTTTTGATATGCTCAGTTTTATCAATACTCTTATTGCAAGCATATTTACCATTTTGTGTTATATATGTCAATAATGATGTATCCTTTGGAAGCTTTTTTCAACTCCATCGGCATTCTGGTGTAATTAAATTTCTATTGCTCATTTTTAACAAAGTAAATGAAAGGAATAGTAATTTTGTTAGTTCTTCTAGTCTATATTTCCGGTCAGGAGGGGATGGCGCGTAGGTGATACACTGTTAGTATTGATACATCGGATTATGTACCAGTCCAACAATAAATGCAGCATGTCCTACGCAATATATTATTCCTCTTCTTATAAAATGTTTTCTCTGACTCTTTAATTTGCTTGGTTAATATCACTGATTTTTACTGATGCTTTTGCTCACAGGATGAAGAGACTCCTTTGACCCCAAATATCTCCTTTTTGTTCTAGATTTTGCGTTGTGCTTCTTTTAAAGTTTGCATTCTCCTGCCAGTGCTATGCTTCATATTATAGTTGATGTTGCAACAAAATTAGTACTCAGTTAAAGTAATGTTTTTGAAAGCTGGTGCAGTGCTGATTTAATGTGAGCAGCATGTTATTAGACTAATTAAACACAACGTTGGATTTAAAGCTGTGCTTTCTTTTTTTGCTATATCCCAAAGAGAATACTTTGCTTTGAGAGGGTAGGTCCTTAAATGTGTGAAGTCTTTGTTTTTAAACATCTAAATCAACAGCAGCATGGAAAGGTACCAGTACCTTTGGGTAAGATGTGGAAGCTGAAAATGGTACTACATTCCAAGAGTATTGATTATTGTTTTGGACCATCTAAATGCTTAACCTCATTGAGAACAAATTACTGTCTCAAATAACAAAGTAAATATGCATAAGATGGGAGCTATTTCTGAGCAAATGTGTTGATTTAAATATTCTTTTCTGTTTCGAAACAAGAACATTATGCTTACAATATAAGCAGTTGTTTGCCCTTCAACTGGTCACTTAATTTAAAATAACTTTGATTCCTAGCAGATGAAATATTTCCTGTCTCTCCAACTTTTGTAAACATAATGGAAACGCGGGTATAATTTGTATTGCTGAAATGAATGTTTCATCAGCAGTACAGAGGTGAAGTTTCTGTGAGGTGAACTGCTACTTGTGATATTTTGCCCAAAGTGATTCGAACTAGT